ATTTTCTAAACTCGGTGACGTCGTGATCGCCGCATTGTCACCCGTAGCATTTGCCAACGGTGTCGTTATCGCATCTGCCTCGGTCGACGTCGACGATGCGTCTGTGCTGTTTGTCGTCGTCTCCTCTGTCGATGGCGTGGCGACACTTGTCGCTTGCTCCGTGGTCGTCGTGTTCGATAAGTTGGTGACCATTTCTGTACTATCCTGCGATGGCGGGTTTGTGGTGTTGCCGAGTAGGGAGTCTGCTCCGGTGCCATTGCCTAGCTCTTGGTTCGGCTCCAGCGACGGCAGTTGGGAAAGTGGATCGAGGGTCGTAGTTAGCTGTGTCGGCTCTGTTACGGCCTCTGTTGTCGCTACATTCATTGTCGGCGCGCTCTCCGTGGGCGTTGTCGGGAGAGGTGCGTCTGTAACGACGTCGGTTTCTTCCGTGAATGACTCCGTCGGCATGGTAACGGCCTCCGACGTCGTCCACGGGTCTTTCGGACTAAACGTCGGCTTCGCTCGGTTGCCTCTGACGCCTACCGAGGCCGTTGGCGTAGTGCGCCATGTGGCGAAGGGACTCGTCGTCGCCGTCGTCGTTGTGTGCACGGCGACGACGAGACCGCCCGGCGACAGCGTGCGCGTCGCCACGTCGGGATTGTCCTCGATGAACAGCGACACCGTCTTGACGCGCGACGGACGTGTCGTGACGTCATACGTCCCGTGTGCCGACGTCTGTCGCAGGAGGTACTCGCGCAAGCCGCCGCCGACGCCTCGGACGACCGGTCCCAAGCGCACGTGTTGCTCCAGTTCCGGTTCCGGTTCCGGATCCGGATCCTCTTCCGGGCCGACGTCGCCGATCCTCGCGTTGTCGGGCAACTTTGTGCGCTCGTCGTCACGTGCGTCCGCGTCGTCGGGCAACCTCGTGCGCGCGTCGTCGCGTGCGTCCGCGTCGTCGGGCAACCTCGTGCGCGCGTCGTTGCGTGCGTCCGCGTCGTCGGGCAACCTCGTGCGCGCGTCGTCGCGTGCGTCCGCGTCGCCGTCGCTCAGCAGACGCTCTCGCTGACCACGCCCGCCGTAGCGATGCGAGCGATGCACATCCGGTGCGCTGACGTCATCGATTAGCTCGAGAATCGGCACGGGGTGATCCGCGCGCCGTCTGGCGCCGAAACGCTCGCCGTCGAACTCGTACTGGCGACCGCCTCTCGGCGCGTCCCCGCGGCCGAGTGCCTGCAACGGTGACGTCACGAGTGAATTCCTTTATTATTAATTTGCGGTAAAGATACAAAATACTCACACGCACACACTCTCTCTCTCTCTCTCTCTCTCTCTCTCTCTCTCTCTCTCCTTCTCTTCTCTCCTCCTCTCTCCTCTCTCTCGCATACTTTCTCTCGCGCTCTGCGCTGCTCTCTCCTCTCTCTTCCTTCTCTCTCTCTCTCTTCTCTCTCTCTCTCTCTCCTCTCTCTCTCTCTCTCTCTCATTCGCCGTCCTCCTTCTCTCTTTCGCCATTTCTCCCACCCCGTTCCCCTTCTCTCTCTCTTCTCTCCTCTCCTCTCTCTCTTCTCTCTCCTTCTCTCTCCTCTCGTCTCTCTCTCTCTTTCTACGGTCATACCCCTGAGGGTTACCTTATCTACTGTGGCCCACCCAGCAAGACAGCGGTGAATAAAAGCAGCGGCCCGATACCAACAGCCTGCAAAGATAAGTCGCAAATTACTAAACAATGTAAACGTGAAACACAACACACGACGCTCTCTTTTGCGGTCACCGCTCACCTATCCGGAGAAATCATGGTCTAACTCCCTTGCGGTAGATTAGTGTTTGCTGTGACGCTCACGCTGATGTAGGTCAATCGTGCAGTAGGTCGTAGGCCGCTAATGGCAAATGTCGCTAGGGGAGGGGGAAAAATTTTTATGATTCAACCGTGTGATTAATGTATGGACGCGACGCGCAGCTCTGATCGACGTCCATAGTGGTGGTAGAGGTGAGTCTGAGTCAGGGATAAGTGACGGATAAGTGACAAAAAAAGACGTTAGGGTTATATACGATTATCAGCTAAGCTTATTTTTTAATTCTGCTCAAAAATTCTAGGGGAGCAGCTGCCCTCTTGGCTACGGCCCTGGTCGGTATCTTATCAACAATAATATCAAACATCAAAATTCACACATTTCACACGTCCTTGTGAAGACCATGCACCGGTGCTATCGCATGTATATGTGCTGTGCTTCGCGAATGACTTTCACGCATCTGCTGTCGAATTTACGAAACATGAAAATCAGGAAGCGTCATTCATGTACAGATAAACCACAGGCGAACGGCGAGCGGCACGCTACGCACGACAGACAACGACACACTGTAGCACACGACGAGATCACATTACACACACACACACAGCGACACACACACACACACATCACACACACGACAGCACACCACAACACACATGCACACATACCGCGTGCGCGTGTGTGCGTGCACTCACCCACGCATACGTCCACACCTGCGCGCGCACACACCCGCACACGCACGCGTGCGCACACACGCGCGCGGAAATGCATACTCTTACACACATAAAGACGCATTCATGTGCACACAGAGTCACCATACCTGAAGAGCTAATTTCCTTGAACGTTCGCCCTTCATTGATGTTTATAATGTACTCAAGTTAGTTATAAAATATTCATGCAAGGTAGTTCCCTTACATGCTTCTAGCGTAAATACACGCACACGCGCGCGCGTATACATATTGTATATAATATATATATATAGAAAACAAAAATGAGGACCGCGATAATTTAGTAGTAGTATAGTGATTACTATGTCAATTCAAATACTTTTCTGTTAAAGGATAATTGTTCGAATTTCTCTGCTTGCTTGATCATGTGGAACGACTCGCTGCAGATACGCTATATCATAAATACCGCGTATCTTTCCTGATGTACGCGACGAATTAAGCAGGTTACTTCTTTCCAGGTTGGCCGAACGTGCTATAAATCTATTAAAGTAACTATACTACTACAGGTTTGCTACAAATCATCGAACTTTAATTAAAGTGTTCAGAAACTCCCAATATTAGTTTGCAGCACTAGATCTTGCTAGGGTGTTTGGGTGGGTGGGGTGGGGTAAATTTCCGCATTATACCAGGAATTACAGGTTTACTGACTGTCAACCTGTAATATATTTAGGGATTTCATGACCGGAATGCATGATAGGCATGTAAATGTAAGATCATCGCGTTTCACAGCAATAATTAATGTGACTTTAAGGTCAGAAACTGCCAATATTAGTTTGCAGCACTAGATCTTGCTAGGGTGTTTGGGTGAGTGGGGTGGGGTAAATTTCCGATGTAACTGAACATAAAATAAACAACTGTACTAGAAATACAAATTGCTGCACTACATGGCTAACTAAATTTAACTAACTAACCATCAACATATATTTGTTAAAGTAGAAATATCTGTGGCAGTACATGAAATGAAGTTGAGAAATATGAAGAGTGATATCAGTAATTATATTCGATCCAGCGTTATTACCAGACCAGGGATTACAGGTTTACTGACTGTCAACCTGTAATATATTTAGGGATTTCATGACCGGAATGCATGAGACGCATGTAAATGTAAGATCATCGCGTTTCACAGCAATAATTAATGTGACTTTCTATAATGAATGATAAAACTATTATGGGTTCCTTAGTTCGTTTGTTCGATCCACTCTTTCCTTTATTCATTCATTTATTCATTCATTTTCTTTTGCTTCCACCCGGTCATTCATTACTTCACTCATTTATTCTTGCTTTCCCCCACTTCTCCTTTCATTCATTCATTCACTCACTCAGACATTCGTTCTTTCCTCCACTCTTTTAATTATTCTTACGTTCGTATGTTCATTTATCGTAGAATTTCTATGCTACCAATTATCCAAAAGCGTAAAGATTACGTTCTCCGACACTTTCATTCGCGCACATGATCATGATTCCTACCTTCATCTTCTTATCTCGTACACTTCGCTGAAGCATCGTATGAAGAAATTCACTCATGCACTTTTCACACACTGGCTACATCCATGCTGGTTACACGCTCTCGCCGCGTTCCTTTTATCGCTTACCGCAAAATAGACGTACTACTACCGTTATCATGAAACGATCAAGATGAAGCAGTGTACGTGAATACGGACCAAGCGTTCGATCGCGTGCGCGCGTGTGTGCGCGCGTGGTGATGGCGCGTGCGGAAACCGGTAGATATAACATAGTATAGCGACGGCGTATATGATTAAATCGCCGCAGGTGACTGAACTTCCGACTAGGAAGTAACGTCGTCGGCCGTTTAGAAGATGTGGTAGCGCGTGCGACAGGTTCATTCAGGCGGATTGACAGACTCTGTAATTGCACGTTAACTATTTACTAGTTAGCCTCTGTACATTTCTATGTTAATTATAGTGGCCCGCGCTCTATTACTGAATGTTTATCTAATGGCGTATTAAACAGACAAAGGTGTTGATCTTACGCCTATAATCCGCATATCACGCGCACACACATATGCATGTAGGCACGCACCAACGCAAGCACGAGCCCTGCTGTAAAAAAAAACTAGCAACGTTTGTTAAGGGATATATAAATAGGAAAAATATCATAAATAGAAAAAAATGTGTCGCTAAGCATAGCAATATCATTGAGCGGCCGAGTGAATTACTGGGGCTAGTAATGTTCGTTCGTTTAGAACAATGCTCCTGTTGTGTGTTCTTGACCATTACTCTAAATACCCAGGGAGCTTCCTTGTTTCTTCTAGAGATAACACGCGTCCTAGTAGCGTTAGGTAGTGTCTAGTTGGCGTTCTGCCGGCCCACCTAAACAGTTTCTTGCGCACATACACGCGCGAGTGCAGAATCACACACGTAACATTTCCGCTTGTTTGAATATTTACACTAATTCATAGATTGCTCTGTTTCCGAATTTTAGCACGCAGGTGCGTGGACGAGTAAAATTGCCAGATATTAACTTTTTTCGTACCAGATAATATGGTTGGGATGTTACACGTACGCTATACGAGATTTCGTAGTAATAATGTTATGTCTAATCCGTTGTTATTCTATAGAATGGTACACAACGATCATGTAGACAATCACAATGTTTACGCTGTTTTGGGTGATTGCATAAATATGAACTCGAACACTCGGTGTGACAATTTAATTATCTATTCGTTCTATTTACACATACATCTATTTGTTCCTTGTATACGCAGTTTTGAAAGATAAGATAATGCAAATATATCGTGCGATTGTGCAATTATCACATGTAAGTTATATACATAGCGGGCGGGTATAACGTGATCTCATACGTGTAACAAGAAAGTCAGACATGCAAACAGAGTCACTATATAAACACATTCACACAGTTTCGTCGGTCACTCCGTTCACTTTTGTTGCCAAAGGCGCCATCTCGTGGTGATCGAGAGCAGCGACACGACTTATCACTTCGCTCTTGCGATATCGCCTGTTTAAGAACGAATAATGTCGATTTATTTCTAAATATAATAAAATTGCTAGATCTTGAAATAATAGTACGAACATGGGTTGGCGATACTCGGGACATTATTTAAACTGAAAGTTCAAGTGCCGTGCATAGCGCTATGCAGTTTTTAATGCGTAGAACTTAATATATTAGTCTCTAACTGCGAGGTAAGAGTCCGACGTTTTACTACTCACTTGACGGAGAACGACCAACACTTCTGGTCTTTCCCAAAGTTGTTCGCTTCTATGGAGGTTTCTGGAAGACTCTCGTTAAGTGTTTCTGGGAGATAGAGTACAACTACGCCCCCGAGAATAGACATCACTCCAAAGATTACCAACGGAATCGAGCTGCTGTACTGGACCTAGATGAATGCAGCAGCGAATAAAACAACTTGCACGCAGAATAAGTATATATTCCCGCTTGTGTTCCAGTTCTCGCTTGCTTGCCCGTGCGCGCTCTGTAGCTCTCGCTCTCTTTCGCTCTAACTTGACCTCTCTTTCTCTCTCTATCTCTCTCTCTCTCTCTCTCTCTCTCTCTCTCTCTCTCTCTCTCTCTCTCTCTCTCTCGCCCTCTTAGCCTATTTCACTATCACGCCCTCTCTCGCTCGCTCGTGATCTCTCTCTCTCTCTCTCTCTCTCTCTCTTTCTAACTTTCTCTCTTTCTCTTTCTCTCTCTATCTATCTATCTATCTATCTATCTATCTATCTATCTATCTATCTATCTATCTATCTATCTATCTATCTATCTATCTATCTATCGCGCGCGCTCTCTCTCCCCCTCTTTTTTATTCCTTCCCTTTATCTCTCGGATCGTTTTAGAGAATCAAAATAATATTTAAAAATGTCAACGTACGTCATCATTATACATATACCATACGTAGCCTAGTAATTCTACTCACCAACAGCTAAATAACATACACGCTGAGGTGCTACCGGATCCATCATTATACGGCTTTTACCTTTATATTACTAGATATTTTTCTACTTTATTTACTCATACTTTATTCTCTGAAACGCTCTATTCCTGTACATTCAGTCGGCGGTTACCACGCCCGGTGGTCAGTAATGGATGTGTCGCATGGATGTGGGCCCGTGTCCACCTAGATCGCGTGCGTCTCGGTACTCACCAGGGCGACGATTTGTGGTGTCACCATGATGCCGATGTTAGCGAATAGTCCGCAGACTCCGATACAGACACTGCGCAGCGTCGTAGGAAACTGCTCGGCCGAGAACGCGTAGATGATCGCGAACGAGATCGTGATCATGAACTTGGCGACCATGGCGATGACGATGGTCGCCGATTCCATATCTGCGATGAAACGCGACGCGACAGTCGCAAATGTCAACAACACACACACACACACACACATACACATAGGCCTACATATATACACACACACACACACACACACACACACACACACACACATCAACACACACACCGGCCGCGCCGCGCGCGCGCGCGCGCGCGCGCGCGGACATGCATACTCATACACACCTTTAGGCACGGCTAGCAGCAGAAAGCAAGCGGCTCGCAGACGACCATCGCTGATGTCGTTGACCACCTACGTCCAACGATCTGCATGGCTGGCCAAGCCATCAGGTATCCTGTGTAGAAAATTCATCCATGAAGCCCGCGTCAGACTGCGACGGATGATAACTATAATCTACAACGCTATAGATCCTATATTATTGGCTATATTATCGTCTGTTAAACAATTTAGGAAAATTACGAATCGAACAAGTAAATATAAACGGTATCTAAATAGATCAGTACGTTTGGCGAGGACACTTATTATCATAATATTCCCAGGATTAACAAAGAACAGAGACAGATAACGAGTGATTATTACCTTTTAATCATGGTAAACTCCCCATCTCGCGTGTCTGTACTTACGTAATTAAAAGCATCTCCAATTAAACTGCTATTCCGCTATGTATAATTATCCCTCGTTGTAATATCGGCGACCACTACTATACACACATTAAA